CCCCCAAAATCCTCCACAGAGCAGCTGCAGCCCCTTCGGGCTGCATCATCGGGGGGTTAGTCTTTAGCCCTGAGACGCTGCGGGAGGCGAGTCGGCACGTTTAGAGCAGCTGTACTGATGGTCACGCTTTTATTTTGGCCAGAGGTCCTTTTAAGGGCAGTGACCCGGGCCTTCGGGTCAGCTCTGGAATTCTGGAACTTTCCTTTAACACTGAAACCCTATCAGATGGGCAGAGAGAGACGGTCACCGCCACTGAAAGACTGTTCCATTCATCTGCCCCATGGTCACTCTGACCTCTGACCTCACGCCTGATTGAAGAGGGACACACACAGTGACCAAACAGTGACCACACAGTGGGGGTGAGGAAGTCTGGAATTCTCTCTTTCCTGCAGGAAGTCAGTCGTCATCATCTTGAGCAGCTCTACCCAACGCTCTTAACCTACATTCATACTTCTCCTATTATATCATAAACAGGACTGTCAAACACCAGGGGGCGCCAGAGAGGGTCCTCAGTGAATGGGAGTGAATGGGAGTGAATGGGAGTGAATGGAACCAAACGGATAAAAACTAAAAAAAACTTGTTTCTAACATTTAAGCTGGAATTTTATTTAATTTTGGAAAGTAGAAGAAAATATAACTGCTTATAGTTTTCTACAGCAAACAGGTCTCGGCAGCAGCACGCCAACATTACTGCTACTGAGCGCTGATCAGTTAGCATCACTGCTACTGAGCACTGATTGGTTAGCATTACTGCTACTGAGCACTGATCAGTTAGCATCACTGCTACTGAGCACTGATCAGTTGGCATTACTGCTACTGAGCACTGATTGGTTAGCATTACTGCTACTGAGCACTGATTGGTTAGCATTACTGCTACTGAGCACTGATCAGTTAGCATTACTGCTACTGAGCACTGATTGGTTGGCATTACTGCTACTGAGCACTGATCAGTTAGCATCACTGCTACTGAGCGCTGATTGGTTAGCGTTTTTGCTACTGAGCGCTGATTGGTTAGCGTTACTGCTACTGAGAGCTGATTGGTTAGCATTACTGCTACTGAGAGCTGATTGGTCAGCATTACTGCTACTGAGCACTGATTGGTTAGCATTACTGCTACTGAGCACTGATTGGTTAGCATTACTGCTACTGAGCACTGATCAGTTAGCATTACTGCTACTGAGCGCTGATTGGTTAGCGTTTTTGCTACTGAGCGCTGATTGGTTAGTGTTACTGCTACTGAGAGCTGATTGGTTAGTGTTACTGCTACTGAGCACTGATTGGTTAACATTACTGCTACTGAGTGCTGATTGGTTAGCATTACTGCTACTGAGAGCTGATTGGTTGGCATTACTGCTACTGAGCACTGATTGGTTAGCATTACTGCTACTGAGCACTGATCAGTTAGCATTACTGCTACTGAGCACTGATTGGTTAGCATTACTGCTACTGAGCACTGATTGGTTAGCATTACTGCTACTGAGCACTGATTGGTTAGCATTACTGCTACTGAGCACTGATTGGTTGGCATTACTGCTACTGAGCACTGATTGGTTGGCATTACTGCTACTGAGCACTGATTGGTTAGCATTACTGCTACTGAGCACTGATTGGTTAGCATTACTGCTACTGAGCACTGATTGGTTAGCATTACTGCTACTGAGCACTGATTGGTTGGCATTACTGCTACTGAGCACTGATCAGTTAGCATCACTGCTACTGAGCGCTGATTGGTTAGCGTTTTTGCTACTGAGCGCTGATTGGTTAGCGTTACTGCTACTGAGAGCTGATTGGTTAGCGTTACTGCTACTGAGCACTGATTGGTTAGCATTACTGCTACTGAGCGCTGATTGGTTAGCATTACTGCTACTGAGCGCTGATTGGTTAGCATTACTGCTACTGAGCAGCTGATTGGTTAGTGTTACTGCTACTGAGCACTGATTGGTTAACATTACTGCTACTGAGAGCTGATTGGTTGGCATTACTGCTACTGAGCACTGATTGGTTAACATTACTGCTACTGAGCGCCGATTGTTAGCATTACTGCTACTGAGAGCTGATTGGTTAGCATTACTGCTACTGAGCGCTGATTGGTTGGCATTACTGCTACTGAGTGCTGATTGGTTAGTAGTATATTGTGCTATGCTGTATTGTTTGGAGTTGTTATATTGTGCTGCATTGTGTTATGATGCACTGTGTTGTGTTGTATTATGATTTATTGTGTTGTGTTGTATTATGATTTATTGTGTTGTGTTGTATTATGATTTATTGTGTTGTGTTGTGCTGTCAGTGCCAGGTTTGTGCTCAGTGTCTGATGGTGCCATGTACCTGTAATTAAACTGGAGACCAGCAGGGGGAGCACCAGCATCTGCAGCATTCTCATCAGCAGCTCTCCAGGAAAGGAGAAATACTTCACCTCGCGGTAGGACATCTTATAGGGTCTCAGAGCAAAGCCCAGAATTATACCTACAACAACACAAACACCCGACAGTGAGTACACAAATACACAACAAACACGGCCGTCCATCACCTGCACCTCCGCCTGTTCAGGGTTCTGAGAGTGAAGGTGAAGGAAAGTCCTGTATGTTGAACTGAAATGTAAACGCTGCACTAATCCTCTGAGAATGCGCCAACATTTAAACACTGAAACTCTACAGGCCGACAGATTCAGAGTCTAAACACTGAGGGTGCTTTACATTATTCACACTGACATTAAAATAAAGGGTCAAAAATAATACATAACTCAGCTCAGACCCGCCCTGTTAGCCAACGTCCCGTAAATAATGACCGCAGGATGCAGATGCATCTACAGGTTTATATAGTCATTCTATAGAGGATATATAGGGTTTATAGAGTCATTCTATAGAGGATCTATAGGGTTTATATTGTCATTCTATAGAGGATCTATAGGGTTTATATAGTCATTCTATAGATGATCTATAGGGTTTATATAGTCTATAAAAGATCCACAGGGTTTATATGGTCATTCTATAAAGGATCTACCAGATTTATATAGTCATTCTGTAGAGGATCTGTAGGGTCTATATAGTCTATAAAGGATCCACAGGGTTTATATAGTCATTCTATAGAGGATCTAATGCGTTTGAGTAAAGCAGTAAGTTACAGTATGCAGTGAGTTAGTGATTGTACACAGTTAAGGGTTGTTGTTAGGCAAAGTGGAGTCTGTAGGTGATGTTAAGGATTTAAAGTGGATGAATATTTTATAGGAGTCCTAATTGATAATAAGGGCTTCTATAGGATATTTATGTAGCTATAGAGGGTCACTGTTGTATGACACATCTACATCATGAATGACTGTACAGTGGTGCTGTATGTGGGTAGACTGACCGACGATGACGGCGACGATGGTGAGGATGACGAAGGCGTTCCTCCTGAAGAATGAGCGGACGTCCCTGGGTCTGATGTTTTGGACGGTGTCGCGCGCTCGGAGCGACCGCTGTGTTATGGTGTCCCGGAGCTGCTGGACCCTCCCCCGGGGGGGCTGCGTCTCTCCGTTACTCTGAGTCATACTGCAGGGGGCGCCACTCCACACACAGTGCACACTACAGCTGGAGTTCCAACTCTGAGAATCACCTGAAAGACACCTACAGTCACAAACACGGCATCAGGTAACATCCCAAAGCGGCAGAGAGACCCTCACCTGAACATTAAAGGCGTAGTTCAGTGAGAAATCTGACACTCACTGCAACCAGGAAGCTGACAGGTGGCAGAAGCTGGTACCCCACAAATTAGCATAAAATCAGAGACAAACAATAAAATCAGGATATTTTGGCTGCGACTGCTGTTTTCAGCTCACACAGGTTAAGGTGAGTGTGTGATGATTTATCGGTGCGGTTAGCACCAGGCTAATTGGTGGGGTACTTATTAGCTACATTAGCCTGTAGCTCCGGTGCTAAAAGTAAAGAAGCAAACCTCAGACGCCGAACATGTCTCGGCTGATCGACTGTGTTGGGGGTAAGTGGGGAGTTTGATCTTTCACTGAACTGTCGCTTTAACCCTTCAACTCTCAGAACAGACTGTTTCCCTGAATCCCGACAGAATCAACACGCTGTGATCTTAAACAAGAGCCTGGACAATAAAGACTGATTACTAATGTAAATACAGCATTTACAGATAAACCACTGTCTGAACTCTACAGCCTCGGCCTGCGGCTCGACAGCACCAGCCTAACCCGTAAACTTCAAACTGTAAAGGAAAACATGCTCAGTGTAAAACTGTTTATTTAAAAAGAAACCTTTAAACTCACAACTGTAAATGCAAATTCTGAAAACTTTTTAAACACTTCAAACAAAGTTTTCAACTTTTCAACCACTAAACACAAACCTTCAAACCAGTAAAGTTTCAGCTTTGAAACTGGTAAGTGTAAAGTTTTCTATCTTTGAACAAGTAAATGTAAAGTTTTCAACTATTAGACCAGTAAACGTAAACCTTTAAATCAGCAAACATGAAGTTTAAATCTTTAAACAAGAGAATCTGAAGTTTTAAACCTGTAAACTCAAACTGTTAGACTGGTGAATGTAAAGTTGTTTATCTTTGAACAGGTCAGCGTCGCGTTTTGGAGTGTAAATGTGAACTTTACCTTTAAAGCGGTGTGTGTAAAGTTTTAAAACAGTATTTGTAAAGTTTTTGTCCTTTAAACTTGTAAATGTGAATCTCACAGGCCTGAACACACAGACTGACGTTACGCTGGTGAGGTTTTAGATACAGAGCAGTGAGGATGAGGTTTTAAAGGCAGGTGGTTTAAAAATAGCCCTTTAATCATAACTGAGTAAACTTCACCCTGTAAAGTGAACCCACTCAGACAGGAGCTGCTCTCAGATCAGCGCCGCAGTCGGGAGTTAAACCTGTTCAGCAGCAGGAGCCCAAACGGTATTCCTGATATTCCTGATATCACTGACACTCCGAGTTATCCTGCTAACGGAGGAATCCCAACTCTCCGAGCTCAGACTGTTTACAGAGTGTCAGATCAGATCAGATCATGA